GACCGGCGGATCTGGTGGTCGACAATCGTTCGGACTTGGTAAAGGTTTCTGCGACACCTGTACTAGGACAGAGGACTTATCGCGATGGCCGCAGACCAATTTACGATGTATCTGTCGCTGACGTTTGTCAAGCAGGCCACGTGGATTGGACAGGGTCTTCTTCGGCTAATGAGACCTCGATCCCGAAGCCTTCGGAGTATCTTTTTGATAGGCGCCTCTATTTGTATAGGGAATTCCCTTCTGATAGATCTCGCCCAGTCTCCCTCTCCTTCCCCCGCCGCATTCCGACCTGCGGGAGTATACAATGTTAACTTCCAGGCATGAGCAACCACAACCTCCTCCTCAACTAGCCGGGTCCTCAAGTATGTCCTTAGAAGACATAGTCAAAAGCCTTGCCACTAGCACCCAAAGTTTTCAGCAAGAGACCAAGGCAAGCATTAAGCACCTTGAGCAACAAATGGCACAACTTGCTTAATCGGTGAGAAAAATGGAGAATTAAGGAAAGCTACCTCCTCGAACTGAAAAGAACCCAAAAGCACAATGCTTGTGAAATTAGCTTGAGGAGTGGAAAGAAATTTGATGGCCCAAAGATGCCTGATGAAGAAGAAGAGGAGTTGGTGATAGAAGAACCACCAAAGGAGGATGAAAAGAAAGAAAAATGGTGTAGAAAAAGAAGCCAGAAGATAAAGAAGCAAAGATCACACCACCACCTTTTCCATCAAGATTGAGCAGCAACAAAAAAGAGAGAGACGATAGTGAGATCATGGAAATGTTCTGGAAAGTTGAAGTCAACATTCCCCTGTTAGATGCGATCAAACATGTACCTAGATATGCTAAGTTCCTTAAGGAACTTTGCACATCTAAAAAAAAGTTGCGAGCTAATGAGATAGTGAAAGTAAGTGAAAATGTTTCTACAGTTTTGCAAAAAAGGATGCCCCTAAAGTACAAGGATCTGGGTGTTTTCACTGTTCCTTGCAAATTGGAAACCTTTATGTCCCCCGTGCTATGCTAGATTTAGGAGCTTCAATAAATGTTTTACCATATTCTGTTTATAAATCTATTAGTATAGGCACTTTAACACAAACCGGGGTGATCATCCAGCTTGCAGATCGTTCTATTATACACCCAAAAGGTGTATTAGAGGATGTTTTGGTGCAAGTTAATGAACTTGTCTTTCCTGCAAATTTTTATGTGCTTGCTATAGAAGATGATGACCACCCAACCTTGAGTTCCATACTTTTAGGTAGACCATTCTTAAAAACAGCAAGAGCAAAAATTGATGTCTACAATGGTACATTGTCTATGGAATTCGATGGGGAGGTTATCAACTTTAATATCTATGAAGCAATGCGGTACCCAAGTGATGTTCATTGCATAAATTTTGTTGATATAATCCAACCTTTGACTGAAAAGTGTTTTGAGTTGACTAACCATGATTTGTTGGAGTTAGTTTTGAGTAGGAATTTTGATAACAATTCAGTCAAAGAGATTGTAGAATATTTCAAGTTAGATGAAGAGTTGCTGGAAATTATGGAGATCATGGAAGAAAGGAAGAAAATGACGTATAATAATAGCAATGTGAAATTGCCCATTTCTAACACAAAACTTCTTCCTTCTGTTGTGCAGGAACCTAAGCTAGATTTGAAGACTCTTCCAGATCATTTAAAGTATGCATACCTTGGAGAAGAAAAAACTTTGCCTATCATTATCTCCAACAAGCTGTCCATTGCAGAAGAAGATGAGTTGGTGACTTTGCTGAAAAAGCATAAGAAAGCTATTGGGTGGACAATTGCTGACATAAAAGGGTTGAGCCCTTCCTTGTGTATGCATAAGATTATCATGGAGGAAGACTTCAAACCAAATTGAGAGGCACATAGAAGATTTAATCCACCCATGATGGAGGTGGTAAAGAAAGAAATCATGAAGCTTTTAGATGTAGGTAGTCCCGAAAAAAGCCGGTGTCACAGTTGTCAAGAATTCTGAGGGATATTTGGTGTCAACTAGTGTGCAAAACGGGTGGAGGGTATGTATTGACTATATAAACTTGAATGCCTTAACAAGAAAAGACCATTTTTCCCTTGCCATTTATTCACCAGATGTTAGAGAGATTGATGGGTAAATCTCATTACTGTTGTTTGGATGGTTTCTTGGGTTTTCATCAAATTCTGGTAGCCCCGGAAGACCAAGAGAAAACCACCTTCATTTGTCCCTTTGGCACATTTTCTTATAGGCGTATACCTTTTGGTCTATGCAATGCACCCGCGACATTTCAGAGATGCACGGTGAGCATTTTTTTCTGAATATGTTGAAAACATCATTGAAGTTTTCATGGATGATTTCACAATCTATGGAAACTCTTTTGATGAATGTTTGAGAAATCTAACAAAAATTTTTCCAAGGTGCATTGACACAGACCTTGTTGCTTAACTATGAAAAATGCTATTTCATGGTGGATAAAGGATTGATTTTAGGTCAGATTGTGTCCCAAAAAGGCTTGGAAGTTGACAAAGCCAAGATAGATGTTATCAAGAGTCTTCCTTACCCAAAAAATGTTCGGGAAGTTCGTTCGTTTCTTGGCCATGCAGGTTTCTATCGGCGGTTCATCAAAGATTTTTTAAAGATCACAGTGTCGATGTGTCAGCTACTCCAAAAAGATGCTGAATTTGAGTTTACTCAGCCATGCAAGGATGCCTTTGAACGTTTGAAGGATTTACTCACCTCTGCTACAATCATCCAACCACCTAATTGGGAGCTCCCATTTGAGATTATGTGTGACACGAGCAACACGACTGTTGGGGCGGTATTGGGTCAAAAGGTGGATCGAGCACATCATGTCATCTACTATGGATCAAATACCCTTGATAGTGCACAAAGCAACTACACCACAACAGAAAAAGAGTTGCTTTCTATTGTGTTTGCACTAGAGAAGTTCCGACACTACCTCCTTGAAACTAAAGTGATCATATATTCGGACCATGCAGCCATAAAGCACTTACTTACAAAGACAGATTCGAAGCCGAGGTTAATACGGTGGATGCTGTGGAGATCAAAGATAAGAGCGGGAAAGAGAACCTAGTCGCTGATCATTTGAGCCGAATAGTCCAACCCGAAGATGCGACTCCCATCCATGACACATTCCCAGATGAGCACTTGTTTGCTATCCAAACACCACCTTGGTATGCAGATATATGCAGCTTCATGGTCACGGGAAAGCTCCCACCCGATCTCACGAGGTCACAGAGAGATAAGATCAAGAAAGATGCGAGAAGGTACATTTGGGATGAGCTGTACCTTTGGAAACACTGTGCAGATCAGGTAATAAGAAGATGTGTTGAAAAACATGAGGTACAATCTATTCTCAACTTTTGTCATAGTTATGCTTGCGGAGGGCATTTTGGTCCTCAAAGAACTGCCAGGAAAATTTAGACTGTGGGTTTTATTGGCATCGACTCTTTCATGACTCTTATACTTTTTGTAAAAGTTGTGAGAAATGTCAAATGACAGGTTCTTTGAGTTCCCGAAACCAAATTCCCTTGACCCCCATCTTGGTTTGTGAAATATTTGATATATGGGGTATTGATTTTATGGGTCCTTTTCCTTCATCTCTTGGGAACTTATACATCCTTTTGGTTGTTGATTATGTTTCCAAATGGGTGGAGGCAAAGGCAACAAGAACTGATGATGCTAAATTTGTTGTAGATTTTGCCAAGGCTAACATCTTATGTAGGTTTGGAACTCCAAAAGCCTTGATCAGTGACAGAGGCACACACATTTGCAACAAAACTCTTGGATCAGTTCTCAAGAAGTATGGAGTCCAACATCGGGTGTCCACAACTTATCACCGACAAACAAATGGACAAGTTGAAGTGTCAAACAGTGAAATCAAGTCCATACTTGAGAAGACAATGAACACAAACTGCAAAGATTGGATTTTGAGACTAGAAGATGCCCTTTCGGCATATCGAACTGCATATAAAACTCCAATTGGGATAAAACCTTATAGACTTGTGTTTGGAAAAGCCTGCCATCTCCCTCTTGAACTAGAGCACAAAGCTTTTGGGCTATCAAACAGCTCAACATGAAGATTGATGAAGCGGGTGTTCACAAAAAGTTAGAGATTCAAGAGTTGGGGGAAATAAGAAATTAAGCATTCGAGAGTTCGCGAATCTACAAGGATAAGACCAAAGCATTCCACGATAAGTACCTCTCCCGTAAGACCTTTGTGATTGGTTAAAAGGTATTACTTTATGACTCTCAACTTAAATGGTTTTCTGGTAAGTTACAGTCCTTGTGGGTGGGACCTTTCATTGTTACTAATGTATTCGATCATGGTGCAGTTGAGATTAAGAGTAACAAAACTGGAAAAGTGTTAAAAGTTAATGGCCATAGGTTAAAGGTCTTTTATGAAGGTTTCCAAGAGAATGACATGGAGGTTGATAACTTGGAATGCCCGAACTACATTGAGTTAATCTACAGGGCAAAGTCGAGGCCCAATTCAAGCCGCCAAACTTGATGCCTTTCTTCAGTGCATGCACTCTGCCCAACAATTTGTGCATGTTCCATCTCTCCATGAGTTGCACATCTACAACCAAGTCCACACATTGTTCTGGAACATTGGATGGCAGGGGTTGTTAAGGGTCCACGAGCTCAGCTATAAAGTTCCAACGGCCGAGTTCTTATCTTCACTTGACTTGGACCATGGTGTCCTACGTTTTCGGCTTATGAACCAAGATCAAGCCTTGTCTCTAGACCAAATCAATGCCATAGTTGGGGCCCCCACATAACACACCTTTGGCTCCAATGACCCAATCCCAGGATACAGTGATCTTACTTGGTGGACCGACCTTTCGCGTCAGCTTCCGTATGTCTCAAGTTCCGCTAAGGCCTCATCTCTCATCCACCTTGTGATGAAAGTGGCCTACAGGATTATTGCTTCACTTGTCGTCCCTAGATAAGAAAGAAACACCATTAGCGCCCTTGAGCTCAAAATACTCTATGCGATGGCCCACCCGGACGATAATCTCATTCCTCACTATGGCTCATTCCTTTGTAACAAACTCACCCGCCTCAGAACATCTTGGTCCGACAAAATATCATATGGTGGCCTTGTCAGTTTATTTGCCAAAAGTGCTCCAGTCCGGGACCCATATCCCGAAACTCACCAACTCATACCCGGTGAGACCTACCTTACCACGGGAGTTCTTGAGTCTATGAGAATGTTTCGGGAGGAGGACGGGAACCATAATTGTACCGTGGGTCAAAACCACGATCCAAGGCTCCTTATCACCCCGGAGAACCGGGGTATCCTTGCCCTCAGGCGTCCTAACAATTTCACCGACTGGCAAATCACGTCATATCTCTTCCCCGACTCCTTCTCCGAGGAGGAAAAGGAGGAAGGTGAGGAGAGTGATGGGGCGACACCACAAAACTCCCCTCCCATGGGTGATGCTAGCTCATCCCACCATGCTGGATAACCATCATATCACCAGAAATATATGGATTAATTCCAATCGATCCATACCCGCCTCGAGACTTATTATCAAGATGTCATGAACCTAACCCAAAGTTTTTCCTCTTTCACCACCCAATACGCTCGGGATCAAGGGCGTCAGCGCAAACATGAGGAGGACTTTTGGGCTTGGACCCAAAATCCCAACTACTATCCTCCTCATCCTCCTCGGCAATAGGTTGTTCCGCCCTCTCCAAGCATCAGGGACGATGCTTATCTTTAAGCTTGGGGAGGGGTAGATTTGTACATTAGGTGCATTTTCATGTTCATATTCGTATTTGTGCATGCATTTAAAAAAAAAACTTTTGCTTCAAGTTTTTGCATTTTATCATTTTTGCATTTCATATTCATGCATGCATTTTCAAAAAAAAAAAATAGTACGAGATGATGACATTCTTTACATATAATAGCTCCATGAAGTGGGAAATCGAGAAATCAGATGAAAAAAACAAAATACCCAAAGCGACCAAATAGTTACCGGAAGTGTAGAATCAGTTGTCATAACTAAGGGACCCAACCACCGTAATTCGAGACCCCAGCCTTAGAGAATTAAAAAAAATGGCATACTGAAACGTTTTTGTGGGCGGTAATAACAACTTTAGGATTATTTTCTTCTGAGTGTTTAAAAAGAATCTTTATCGGCAACTCTGGACCCACAGAACGTGAACCTATTTGTTGACATGCGTTACCCTCGCGGTAACAGAGAGCTTAAATATCATATCCACACAGTCAAGAAGGAAGAATGGGTACGACTATCATATCCAGTACCCAAATCAAAAATTTCAAGCACTTAATCGAAGAAACTTTCAGAAATTCAAAAGCTGATTGAAGAATTCAAAGCTCAAAATGAAGATACAAATCCAAGTTCAATCAAAATCAAAAGTCGCCTCAAAGTCAAATCTGGCAAATGAAGAACTGTGTGATATGATACTTGTGGCTCTCGAAAAAGTGAAAGCATAGGAGCTGGGCCCCTTCGGGTGGGCTCGCTGTTTCAGCGAAAGCTGATTCACCGTGATTGGTTCTTAAGGATGCATCGATTCTGATTCTTGGCTATCTAGTCTTAAGGACATGAGATCCAGACTCTGTTATTTTCGCCCATAAAGCTAATTAAGGTATGAAGTTTAAATAAAACTATGGTTGGATTATTGGGTTACACCGTTTCGTGTCTTCCTCACTTTGGGAGTCTGTGATATGTGGAAGGAAGCAGGATGGTTGCCTAGGTATTAATGATTGGAGCAACATTGATGTAAAGTCTGATCGTACTTATTTAGATAAATTACTTGTTTTCTTAAATTTCTCTTTGGTTCATTTTGTTTCTTTAGTGCTTTTGTACATATTTTTCTTTTTCATGGTTTTCATTGCATGCATTCCTTCCTAGCCTTTAGGATCATTCTGTCCCTTTTTGCTTTGTGTTTCTTTTTGCCATCTAGAAATCATCCTGTTTCGTTTGATTCTTGTTCTTTCTTGAGGACAAGAAAGGTATAAGCTTGGGGAGATTTGTTAGGTGCATTTTGTACACTTTTTTGCACATCTTTTAACCCCCACTTTTATGCATTAATTTAGCACAATTGTTCTTCATTTGTCTTGCATTTCATCATATTCATGTTAGTCTATAGAACAACTTTATTTGCACATTTTCATGTCTTTTTCAGGTAAACCGAAGGTTGGAATGCGCTTTGGGAGGTGCCGGGAAGCATTGGTGAAGATTTCGGGATGTTCGGGTGAAGAACGAAAAAAATTGGAAAAGTCAAGTTTGGAATTGGAGTCAGAGAGGTACACAGGTCGTGTTGGATTTACACTGTGAAGGAACACGGGTCGTGTTGACCAGAAAAGAAGAAGCTGTTGACCATGTTGAACACGGGCCGTGTCATTTTTACCCTATGTCCAACACGGGTCATGTTCAACCCAGAAACCAACGTTTAGCAGTTTTTCCTATTTTTCAGATTACGAGTTGATGGCCATTTTTTAGAACATACAACATATCAGAGCACGTTTTGAGAGGGGATTTCGAACGTTTTTGCAAGGGTTTGATCAGTAAGCATTTGGAAACATTATTTCTAGTATTTGTAAGTTGTAATTGCACATTATTTCCATCTTTATTCTTGTTTGATTTGTTCTTAGCCATGTGTGGCTACGAAACCCTAGTTTCTAGTTCTTCATCAATGGTTTGTGGCTTTGGAATGGCAAGGAAGAAAGAAGAGTGTTTGGATGAAGTGGTGGTCTCGACCCCCCCCCCCCCAACACACACACACACACACTCCCCATCCTTATTAATAAATGTTTTACTTATGAGTCACTTAAGTAATTTCTCAACTACATTAGATGTGTATATTATCATGTGATGTGATATTTTATATCATTTTTTTTATATCGTCTTAAATTATCATCAGACTCCTCTACAAACGTTTTTTTACCAAGATATTTTGTTCTACCATAGAAAATTATTCACTTCTTGCCTTTCAAAGATGGATTCCCGTGTTACATTACGATACCTCAGTTCTTATGTAGGAACATATCTAACTAAATATTTTATGTACCGCGAACGACACTTCAATTATGTATGTTAATGATTCTAAAAAATGAAAACCGATTTTCTCATTAATCAAATATATACACACAATTAAGATACACATAGGCTATCATATGTGGGACGAGCATATGACAACTATTGAATGGTACTACTTTAATAAGATTTAAATTAAATGTGAAAGTGTAGTACATAAAGAAAATCATATAAAAATATATAAAAAGAAGTTCAAAAGTTATCGGAAAAACACAAGATCAAAAGCCAAACAATTTGAAGATATTCAATTTCGATAAACCAAAAAAAAATATATAATTAAAGAAGTTTAACTAAAATAAACTATGAAAATTAATTTATTATTTTCGAAATTATTTGTTATGATTAAAATGACATACTTAGTTTAATTAAAAGAAAAAATTAAATTAAATATAAAGTCGGGCAAAAGTCACAGCCCAAACTCGGAGCCCAAAAACCAAGCCTAGTTCCATCCAGCCTAATCCGTCGTTCCAGAACCCCTCTCTACACCCTTGGTTTGGGCCCACTCATACCTGGACCATGCTATATGGAAACCCCCCTACAACGGCATCGTATTGATTACCAACCTTTCCACCGTCTTTTCTTTCCAACAACTCAATAAATTTTTGCCACGTTTCTCTCTTATTTGGCTACTTATTCATTTATTTTTAACTATTCTATATATTATATATTATATATTATATATTATATATTATATATTATATGGGTTTATTCAAAATAAATAAATAAATAAATAAATAAAGATTTAGAAATTTACATAGTTTGAATTTATAAAGAAAGGAAGAAAAATATTTAATTATTAAAATTGAAGTGTTCATTTTTTTTTAAATTTAATCAAATAATTAATAAATAACTAAAATAATTAGATTTAATTTAAAAATAAATTATAAGAAAAGTTGCATTAATAAATTTGACATGCATTAATTATTATATTTAATAATTATATAAAATTTAATTAAATAGGAAAAAGAAAACACAAAGTAACATGTTGATATAATTTAACTTAATATTACCATAAAATGACATGTGATATAATGAGATGATAACAAATGATAAAAATTATTTTTATCTATTAAAGTACACTTTATTCCTACTTGTTAATTCTACTGCCTTAACTTTTATACTAATTGATTGATTTGCGACCCATTCCCTCTCAATTCCCTTCATTTTCAATATAACACCCACATATATATAAAAGTAGGGTTGTAAATGAACCGTACGAACACGAACATGGCTTGTTCATATTCGTTCATTTAAGTTAGCCGAACAAATAAACGAACGTGAACGGATAAACAAACAAGTTTTCATGTTTATATTCGATCGTTTAACAAATTGCATTGTTCATGTTCGTTCGTTTATGTTCATGAACATGTTAAACGAACATAAATAGATAAAGATAAATAAACATAATTTAAACATATGTGAACATAAATGAACATATGATATAATAATGTAATCAAATACAATTAAATATATATGAACATAAAAGAAACTTATATGGACGAATATAAACAAACGTAAATAAACAACATAAATGAACGTTCACGAACATAATTAAACGAATGATACCATTGTTCATGTTCGTTCGTTTAACTAAATGAATGAAAATTTGTATTCATATTCGTTCATTTATTAAATAAAAGAATATAAACGAACTTTCCGCCGAACGGTTCACGAACAATTCGTTGAACGTTCAGTTCTTTTATAGCACTACAGAAAACCTACAACACCTTCACCATCTCAAAACCCTTTGAGGCTTTTTCTACTTTTTTTTGAAGTCTCCAAGATTTCCACCTCCCTTAATCTCTCCCAATTTGAATTTTTTCAACGGTTCCAAACCAACATTCCCTAAGTAATGTCAAAATCAAGCATAAGTTCGTATATCCTGTTATCGCAACAAGAATTATTGCAACAAGAAGTATGTTTTGATTCCTTCTTACTGCATTATATTGGTTTTAAACATTTTAGATTCTTTAAATAATATTATGTGTAGATTTTTATGTTTTTAATCACATGAATCATCACATTTAGTTTATTTATACACCAATTGATTATTCTAAGTGTGAGCCGAGGGTGCATACCCACCGTGCCAAATCATCTAAAGTGATATGTAGGACATAGGGTTCATATACACCTAGTTTGATCTTAGATTTAGACTTTACTTATTACAACCATGTCCATGTGGCCCGAATGAACACAAATTAGTAATACACATCATAATACACTGATTACACTCATTTGGAATTAAAATTGAAACCGGAAGTGATCACGTTTTTATATATCTTGAATTCAACCTATTTTCAAAGACAAAAGTTTATTCTTATTTTCATCAATTTATTATATAATCTTCATTTTTAAGTCGTTAATCAAGTAATACCTAAACTATTAACCATAAGCTCCCCCTG